GAAAAACAGGCGTACCAATTATTTACGATTAAGTGCTCTGTGGAGTGACGCTGTTGGAAGGAGAATTGCGAGGTTCACAACTCATAGAGAGGCCCACAAACTGGGATTTAGCACTTGCAAGGTAAGTTTTCTTATAAAAAAAGTGATGTAAAAACCCTAAAGTTGCACAACTTGTTTATAGGCCAAAGAAAAGCCACTATTAAGTCCACTGCAAAATAAAAATCGGCTTAGATGGGCTAAAGAACATAGACAATGGACACCTCAACAATGGTGTGCAATACAATGGAGTGATGAGGCCCGATTCGAAGTGTGTGTTGGTGACAGTCGCAGTAGAGTTATTCACAAAAAAAATGAAGCATTCCATGTTGACTGTCTGAAGAGAAAAGTGAGATTTCCAGTATCCATTATGGTCTGGGGCAGTATGTCATCAAAAGGAGTAGGAAATGTAAATATCCCCCTAAATTCAGGACTTTTTTGTTACCACATGATTATGATTTGTTAGGTATTCTTGGATCTTAAAATATTCTACCTATTATTATTATCATCATTATTATATTAAATAATCATGTGCAGTAGACTTCAGTTTTTGACATTACTGTGAAATTGCTCCTCGGTCAATGAACTCTATTGGCAATCCGCCATGCCACTGGCACGTGTAGGTATTAGCGAGCAGGGGAGAGAAAATTCATGGACAATATTGTGCGCGCGGGTCGATTTGTAGCCCTTGCAGGGTCATTCAAGCTAAATAAAGGTGTGTAGGGTGCGATAGTGGAAGAAATTGAATTTTGGCCGGCTCGCCAAGGACACGCACCTTCAAAGACAAAAGTTTTACGTTCACTGTAACGGCGAGGGACGGTAATAGAAGCAGGGTTTTGTGTTACTGTTGTACCGTATTTTATGCGAACGTCGTGTTGAAAGCGTTCGGACACGCCATGTTGGTTTTAGTGTAGGGAATGGCAAAAAAAACAAGACTGACAAGGCTTCAATTCCCCTACAGCGGAATCACGTAAGTGGAATTAGTACAGCAATATCCACGCATTTCTTTTATTGCACCCATGTTGGTTTCTACTGTTTGGCTATTCTGCATTAAGATATGAGAATTGGATGCGCGGTAGACACGGCGGGTTGAGTAGTTTCATAAGCAGCAGCGATCGACGGCACATCGTGGGTACAGTCGGAATAAAAATTTTAGGCGCGTACATGTATGTTGTTATACTGCCAGATTCGCGATGAATAGCAAAGTTAGAAACAAGGTTCTGGGTCAACAAAGTCGAGAAATTATAGCCTCTGTATTAGAATTCATGCAACAGGAAGCAACAGAAGGAGTGACTATTCCTATAGACAAAGTAAGGCCTTCATAATTATGTTCATTCGATCTGTAAAATCCGGTTTAATACGTTTTTGAAATACTATTGTAAATTCTAGGTACAAGAACGTGTCTCTGCCGCAACACAGGGGTGAGCCTGTTTTCCATAAGGCGTGTAAAAAAGAAGCGCGAAATATAAAAGAGCATGTGGCAGTTTCATTCCCAAAACCAAAGAGAATACACATCAAAACTAAGGTGGCTCTCGATGGTTTTGACCAAGGGCTGTTACGGAGAACGATCATCAACTACCATATAACAGAGAAGCGCATACCTACCTTGCGCTGTATACACAGAAAAATGCGGGATGTTGCCAATCACAAAGGAAATACACAAATTGGGATTCAGGTGGAAGAAATTTGAATCCAATAGAAAACTATTAATAGAAAAGGCAGAGATTCGCTATTTACGGATTGTTTTTTTAAGGAACATGGCGAAATATAGAAAAGAAGGACGCCCAGTAATATAAACTGACGAAACGTATATACATTCTTCGCATGCACATACCAAAAGCTGGGTAGATAACTCCACAGAAGATGGAAATCTACAGGAGATTATCATAATGAAATGAATTTTGATAATTATAAAAAGTGGCTAAAAGAAAAACTAATTCCAAATCTACCACCCAGAAGTGTGGTTGTTATAGATAATTATTATTATTATTATTATTATGATAATTGAGATGAGCAGAGTACACAGTACTATAAGCTCATGCAGTAAATATAGTGTACGGACAAGTAACACAAATACATCAAATAAAAAAAAATAAAAAAAGACAGTTCATAGCTATAAAGTTTGTACACTCCTCCAGCTATCATACTGCACTTTGAAGCTATTAGCTGAAGTAGCACCAACCACACTTTCAGGTAAACTATTCCAGGTGTTGAATATGCGGTTGGGAAGAAACCACTGTCGGACTGTTGTTTTAAATGGCTCCTTATGCAGTTTGAAGCTGTGTCCGCGTAGATTGCTGAGCGACAGACGGTTTAGATGCATGAGGTTGGTGCCCATCAAACCATGAAGTATCCTGAACGTAACTATAAGATCGCCGCGAAGTCTTCGCTCAGAGAATTAGGTCAGGTTGAATAATTCAAGGCGATCTTCATAGCTTGGTCTTCGTGCTCCAAAAGGGATACGAGTAGCCCGACGCTGTACTGATTCGAAGAGATTTCTATCGCGCAGAAGCACAGTGTCCCATACCGGGCCAGCGAATTCAAGAATTGGCCTCACGAATGCCTTGTAAATGTAGGCGCATGTGTTGACATCGGATCCTTTGAAAGACCTCTCCAGCATGTATAGAAGTTTCTTGGCTTTTGATGTAACGTGGTGTATATGCTCTGACCAGGAAAGACGATCGTTGACTACAACGCCCAGATCAGTGTGGCTGGAAACTGCTTCGATGTTGTGGTCAGAGATCTTGTATGTAAATCGCGGATTTGTCTTCCCGAGGTGAAGGACACAACACTTAGTTAGATTTAAGGGTAAAAGTCAACTGACTGACCATTGACAAACAATATCAAGATCCCGTTGAAGCGTAGCAGAATTTACGACAGTATTGTAAATCTTGGCGTCGTCGGCATAAGCTGAACATGTGGAGGAAATCAATGCGGGCAGGTCACTTGTATACAGAAGGAACAGCACTGGCCCCAAGACAGAGCCTTGAGGAACTCCACTTGCTACATGATGAAGGTGAGACTGGCTATCACTGACGCGCACAGAGAAAGTCCTCCCGGTGAGAAAAGCCTTAATCCACAGTAACAACTCGCCTCTTATTCCCATATATTCCAACTTAAACAGAAGCCTTCTATGTGGTACGCGATCGAAAGCCCTAGAAAAATCTAAGTAGATTATATCAACAGGAGTCTTTGTGTCCAGATACTGAGTCTAATCGTTGAGAGAGTGGAGAAGGTTGGCCATTATTGATCGACCAGGGAGAAATCCATGCTGATTCTTTGGGATAAGGTCATTTTCGAAAGCAAATGACAGGAGATTATCTAATATGATTCTTTCAGCTATTTTGGCGGCGATAGGAACGAGACTTATTGGTCGATAATTTTTAGCGGAGGATTTGTCGCCCTTTTTGAATACAGGGGTAATGCGCCGTACCACAATAAACAGATAGACAAAAGTCCAATATCTTCAACCGCTAAAGCTGAAATGAAGATCTGGCTTCGTGACAGGAATATTTTTTTACAGATGAAATGCTTAAACCAGAGCTTTACAATTTGACTAAATTGCATAAACCAGCTTATAAAAAATTTGCCATAGATCAAATTCTTCATGATGGTGGCCACGATGTTCTAAGACTGCCACCCTAACACCCCGAAAATTGCCCATAAATTGGAAGCAGTACTCGATGCACTCTCTTAACCGAGCATGAATTTTGATAGTAAAATTCAATAATTTGCAAGCGTTGTTCGTTCGTAAGTCGATTCATGGTTAAATTATAGACCAAACTGAACAAGTTTGACAATGACACAAGACCCGATTAACGCGTCATCTGTCAAAAACAGTGTTAAAAAGAAGATACTAGCAAAAAATCACCCATTACTTTTGTTTGGCTGATAAATGTTTTCTAAATTTGTTTATATTTTCTAGTCGCATGTAAGCTAAATTTGTTCTGTTTTTTATATGACTGCCGAAGCCAAGCGAGCTATCAAATATAATGCCTAGATTTTTTTGTTTCCTGAACCAAGGGGATTCTGTCATTGTTAATAGAAATTACTAAGTTTTGTTCAAAATGATCTCTTTCATTACTGTTTTTATTCATAACCATTACTTGCGATTTTGAGGGGTTTAGTTTAAGATTGTGATGCTTTGCAAATCTGTCAATTCTTTGGAGATCTGAATTTAGTTGTTGTTGTACAATATGGATTGTGGTTTTTATATATTTGTGAGTCATCTGCATATTGTTTTAATTTTACCGATTTGACCATGTCAGATATGTAGATTGAAAAAGGAGATAAAATTGAATCTTGAAAAACTTCTCTTTTTATAGGTTTAAAATCGGTTTTGTAAATAGCGGAATCATTTGCTAACATAACACAGTTTGAACGGTTGCTTAAGTGTGTTTTTATTAGATTTACTGAGTTCTGCGAAAACCCCTGTCAATGTAACTTAGCTAGTAACATTTCATGATTCAGAGTGTCGAACGCTTTACTAAAATCGAGAAGAACCATGCACGTACTATTTTTTTGTTCTTGATGATGTCTGATATCATCCAAGATATTAACTAATGATATACATGTGCTAGAGCCTTTCCTAAAACCGGATTGACTATCGGGTATGATATCGTTTGTGTCACAAAAAAATCTAATTTGATTATAAATATGCCTTTCTAAAATTTTGGATGTAGCGGGTAATATGCTAATAGGCCTCAAGTCTGTAAATTCTTTAGGTTCTACTATTTTTGGTAAGGGTTTAATAATATGATTATTACACTATTATTGCGAACTTTCGGAGTGTCATTTTCTAACCCAATTTAATCGGCTTCGTATCTCTCATTGTTTTCTAGATCCAAATGGAGGCCTTACACTTTTTCTCAGAGGCGTTAACTCATGCCGATGACAGTGTTACGTAGAAAATGCACTTGACGTGGTTTTTTTTGTTTGTTACAAAAAATCTACTTCCCACTAACCTGAACTCAACAAATCCCTGATGCAACAGCATCGCCATGAAATCCCCCGTCATGTCATCTCGTTCGCCGGTAAGGAAGAAAATTCCGTCGTACGCCTCTGGCCTCAGCTCCAAGCTGAGTTGCACGTGTTTGTAGGCACCCCTCAGCGCTGGAAAAGCCAACCAGCTGGATCCGGTGAACCGGGGAGAATGGATTTCCTTTTCTGGAAAAGAAAAACAGATTTTAATTAATAGTGTTGCGGATTCGCAAATTGAGCACCCGTTTGCATGTATCATTCGTTACCAGCCGCTTTTTTATTGTTGCGCTTCTGGGATATTTTATCTGGTTTTGTATCAAAACGATAATTAGAAACTGGAAATTAATAGAGTATCAGATACGAAGTACCTTGGAATAGTATTGGAACCAAGCTGGCGTTGGGATTTTCGTATTCCATATACAGGGTGTAAATGTTATTGAAATCGGTAATAGGGGGGGGGGGGGGTGGGTGGGGACAAAACAAGTCAAAAAGTTCATATGACCTATGGTCCAAAAGTCAATAAATCCTACTAATTTTTATAATCTAATCTAAAACGTTTTTAAATTGGGTAATTAACAAATAAATGGCATTAAGTTTTTCTAAGTTAAGCCAAAATTTGTAATCATGTGAGTTTCATTAAGTTGAATATTTAAAACACACATGACAACAGCGCGTCGGCCATCATCACTCTTATCGAACCGGCAATCGATCGCAAACGGTAACGGTACGTCGCGTCGTCGTGTTGATTTACGTTCAATTCGACCTTGAGTTGCTGACTAATTTATGCGTAAAGTTGCGCAGTTGAAGGGGTCTTCTATTTCCTTTGATTTTGCCAGGAGCCGCTATTTTGAACCCGTTGTATTTTTTTGCCGTGTGACCCCAAAAGACCGTTGGCCAGATCTGCTGGATTCCAATAGTCCATTAAAAAGAGTAGGATGCGGTTTCCAGCACAGGTGGTCAACTCGAGTTCCTTTTAACGGAGATCGATTGAAAAACGAGTAGATGTGCTGTTTGCGGCTTGCTGGGCTAAAGGGAAAATCCTTAGGGAAGATGTATTTTTCCTCGCTCAGCTTATACGTTCGTTATATTGAAAATTGTGAGGTGCACTTCGCAACTTCATGCATTCTGAACAATGTCTGGAGGCTCATGCTGCACCGAAGTTATGTTCGTAGTATAATCGAGTTTACGAGATGCATACTTCATAGACTGCGTCCGCGGGTATACAGCGTGTCCCATATTTGCTTCTTTGTATTATATACTAAGACATATAAATCCGAACACCCAGTTTAAATGGTTTTATTTTAATGAAAGTTGGTGAATGTATTTATCTTACTGTAAATAACAAGTGAAAAAATGTTCAGCCTTATCAGTTGGACATTCCGGTTCTTATACTGCTTTTTTTTAATACACTAATGCTCTAAAAATGAATATTTCAGCCGCAGTAGAGAATCAACGTTGGCGGATTTTGGTTCTTGACATCCTTTACGATCGGTTACGATGCCTAGAGTACGGAGACCTGTACGATTTCGTCAACTTAGTGAGTTTGATAGGGGCCGTATAGTGGGACTTCGGGAAGCTGGACTTTCTTTTCGGGCAATTGCAGTTAGAGTGCAAAGAAGTGTAGACACTGTGGTTAGGTGTTGTCAGGCATGGGTTCGAGAAGGCCGTACGCAAAGAGCAAGGGGCACTGGACGCCGCCGTAGAACAACAGACCGTGAAGATCGCCGCCTAAGATTATTGGCCTTAAGGGACCGTTTCTCCACTACCAGGTCCATTGCAAATGAATGGTTTGCAGAACACGGAAGACCTATTGGCATGCGAAGTGTTTACCGACTAATGAGAAGTTTTGGCTTGTTTTCATACCGGCCACACTGGGTCCTTCCTTTAACTCGAGAACACCGACGTAATCGCCTTGAGTGGTGCAGACAACGGTCACTCTGGGATCGGGAATGGAACAGTATTGTCTTTAGTGACGAGTCTCGATTTTGTTTAGGCATGCATGATGGTCATGCCAGGGTTAGAAGGCGACGTGGTGAAAGGAGGAATCCACAGTTTTTTTATCATTTACTTATTATGTTTCATTAAGTACTTATACAAAGTTTTATTAAAATAAAACCATTTAAACTGGGTGTTCGGATTTATATGTCACTTAGTATATATATACATATATTCTTTTTGATTTTTGAAAAGTTTGCAGTCTATACTCCATTCGTAGTCCATTTACACCCAGTCAAAGCACAACATGGTCTTGAAATAATCTAGCAAAATAAATGAATTAAAGTAAAACAAATTATAATTAAATTTTCTATATGGACAAGAAACTTATTGACAGAATTATGGATACATACGTGAAATATTTCAATCCAAAAGTAATTAAAGCAAATATTTTGAACGACTTACCTACAACAAAATTATATTTCTCTAATGATACCACATCATAGCTAAAAATATTCCATACAAACATAAGGAGTGTTCATAAAAATTTAGATGAACTTCAGGCGCTGTTGGAAACACTGAATTATTGTTTTGATGTACTGGTACTAACAGAAACATTTAGAATATATGACACAAATTTAATTCAAATGCCAAATTATCATCTATATTATAATGAAGAAGATTTGAATAAAAATTATGGGGTTTTGATATGTATAAGACAGAACTTAATTAGTAATTCTGAAATTGTATATCTAAATGATACAAAATTATTGAAGGTTATCGTACACAAAGACAACCATAAAATACATATCATTGGAATATACAAGTCACCATCTATACTCACCACATCATTTAATGAAGAACTTCATAACTATCTTGAAAACAATGAGAAACTGTATGTTAATTTAATAGTAGGAGATCTAAATATCAATATGCTAGACCAAAACGATCAAAATTCCCTCGGAGTTCCACAAGGAACCGTATTAGGACCAATGCTGTTTAATTTATATATTAATGAACTTTTTAAGTTAAAAAACGATGGAGAAATTATTGGTTTCGCAGACGATATGGCAATTATTTACTCAGACAAAAATTGGACATCTTTAAAAAACAAAATTGCATTCGATTTTCAAAAGGTTACAAATTTTTTCACGGAAAGGATTTTAACAGTCAATTTCAACAAAACATACTTTATTACATTTTCTTGCGACAACAGATCTTCCCCAAATTTTAATCAACTCCAAATTAAAATGTTGAATAGCTGTAGAAACATATAATCGGTTGATAATTTCAAATACCTAGCGGTATTCATAGATAACCATCTAAGATGGAATCAATATATTGAACATTTCGTAAGAAAACTAAGATACCTTATTCCGAAAGTCAAATATTTCAGCAGTTTTTTCAACGAGAAATATCTACACATGATATGTCATGCCCTTGCTCAATCGTTACTATCTTACCGAATCTTATGGGGGGGGGGGTCATGAATAATTATTATAAAAAGATTGAAATTACGCAGAAGTGGATTTTGAAAGTTATGTTGAACAAAAAGGAATGTTATGCTTCAGAAAATCTTTACCATAAATCTCAGCTTTTCGACTGCCGGAAAATTTATTTTTATCATACAATAATATATTTAACAAATTGTTACTTTCTATCAGTCACAACCATCAAAGGCGATTCAAGAAAACCTCTACACTAATTCCTAGACTAAATAAAACTATCAACCAAAGATCATTCTATTTTCTATGCTCAAAATTTTATAATGTTATTCCTGCAAATTTTTAACATATAAAATGTAAAAAACATTTAAAAATTGAATTAAAATCATGGATCCTAAATGAACCAAGGATACAAAACCTTAAGTTTGTCGACACTAAAAACCTATATGTTATTTGATCATAAAATGATGCAAATTCACACATTTGACTAGTATACTTGAAGAAAATTTGTTGTATTAATATAACTCAACTTCGTTTAAAACCCAAGCACAAGTGTACACTTTTTGGGTTATGTTTATTGGACATTGCCGTTATTATTTATACGAAAACGTTGTAATTGGACCAATAAACATTATTATTATTATTATCATCATCATTATTATTGTTATCATTATTATTATATACTAAGTGACATATAAATCCGAACACCCAGTTTAAATGGTTTTATTTTAATAAAAGTTGGTGAATGTATTTATCTTACTGTAAATAACAAGTGAAAAAATTTTCAGCCTTATCAGTTGGACATTCCGGTTTTTATACTGCTTTTTTTTAATTCACTAACGCTCTAAAAATGAATATTTCAGCCGCAGTAAAGAATCAACGTTGGCGGATTTTGATCCTTTACGATCGGTTACGATGCCTAGAGTACGGAGACCTGTACGATTTCGTCAACTTAGTGAGTTTGATAGGGGCCGTATAGTGGGACTTCGGGAAGCTGGACTTTCTTTTCGGGCAATTGCAGTTAGAGTGCAAAGAAGTGTAGACACTGTGGTTAGGTGTTGTCAGGCATGGCTTCGAGAAGGCCGTACGCAAAGAGCAAGGGGCACTGAACGCCGCCGTAGAACAACAGACCGTGAAGATCGCCGCTTAAGATTATTGGCCTTAAGGGACCGTTTCTCCACTACCAGGTCCATTGCAAATGAATGGTTTGCAGAACACGGAAGACCTATTGGCATGCAAAGTGTTTACCGACGAATGAGAAGTTTTGGCTTGTTTTCATACCGGCCACACTGGGTCCTCCCTTTAACTCGAGAACACCGACGTAATCGCCTTGAGTGGTGCAGACAACGGTCACTCTGGGATCAGGAATGGAACAGTATTGTCTTTAGTGACGAGTCTCGATTTTGTTTAGGCATGCACGATGGTCGTGCCAGGGTTAGAAGGCGACGTGGTGAAAGGAGGAATCCACAGTTTTTTGTTGAAAGACATGTTCATCACACTGTTGGAGTTATGGTTTGGGGTGCTATAGCTTATGGTTCCAGGTCACCTTTAATCTTCATCAGAGGTAACATGAACGCGCAGCGTTATATCCACGAAGTTCTAGAACCCCATCTTTTACCCTATCTTGACACCCTGGCAGATCCAACTTTCCAACAAGGTACTGCCCGACCACATGTTGCAAGAGTCTCAATAGACTTCTTTCAACATAATGATGTCACATTGTCACCATGGCCACCAAGATCTCCCGACTTATCCCCAATTGAGCACGTGTGGGATATGATGGGTAGGAGATTGCTCAATTTGCAA